CCTCCCAATGTTACCACATGGGCGAACACACACACACACACACACACACACACACACACACACACACACAGAGAGAGAGAGAGAGAGAGAGAGAGAGAGAGAGAGAGAATCAAAAGAAATCTGTATATTTTAGTTTTGCAGGAAAGCAGTTAGAGAAAATAACACAAATTTTTCAGAAAGGCAAAACAAAGCAATATTTAATTAGAATTGTTCTTCTCTGTCTTCCATATACATGTCCTGGCTCATAAATACCTCAAAAATCCCATATTTACAATAATACAATAAAAAATTAAAAATACAGTAAACATCTATTTTTTTCTTTTGTAATATAAGAATTCCGGGGTAAGAGTAGATACATTTTCAGTATTATTGTAATATTATCAGATACGCTGGGACTGGAGATACAGGTTGTCATGAGCCACCCAAACTGTGTGCTTCTTTCTGTACTCAGGTCTTCTGTAAGAACAATATGTGCTCTTATTCCTGAGCCATGTGTCCAGCTTTATTTTCTGGTTATATCAGCTACTGCTGTTTCATAGCCATGGATTATCCCACCATCAGGTTTCATTTCTAGTCAAGTTAGTAAAAATTCAGGAATCCTAAACACCAGGAATACAACAGCAAATGGCAGTCATGTCTTAACATTGTGGTAGGGTGTAACACTCATTTGCATTTTCAGCAACAGCTTACACCCACAACACACTAAACTCCTCTTGGGCAGAGGCCATGCCTTACTCATTTTTATATCTCCCTTTCATAGAATGGCTTTTGAATAAAGCCACGTATCTAGTCTATAATCCTCCTGTATATTATGTGTTTCTCCTGGGTAGGATCAAATTCTAAGTGTAAAAACAGGACTGTACTACTCAGATAGCTAATTCAGACATAACTTGTTAGTGCTAATCTAGAATAGGAAGAATGCTTCTAGGCATAGTGTGATTTCTGTACGTTGAGGAGACAATTTTTTGTTCATTTTTTTTTTAAAAAGAAAAACTAGGATTTTATTTCCAA